TGCACTAAAGGCAGGCATCTGTCTAGAACTATAAATACCACAAATGAATTGTGGGACTCTTGTGTTCTCAACAATAGGAAAGAATTCAATAAATATATGTTTGAGCTCATTTTTGGAAAATATAAACCCTACTGAAAGCGTTTGGGCTGAGTAGCTGTAGGTCCATCAGCCACCACCCTTAGAATGTCCCCACCAACTTTTATCACAAAGTTACACCCTAGTACTACAGTAATACTATCAATATTCAAAACATTTTAATTTTTCATAGATTAATAATTACTTGACCACAAAAACAGTCTGGTTAATCATGCACATCAATATCCTAACATTAAAGATAAGTACAAAATTCATGCTCTTTTCAGAACTAGATTTTTTGTTATATGGGGTAAAGAGAAAATGCAAGTCAGTCTTCAGTTAGATAATAGATAACTATTCTAATACAAACTTTGTAAATAAAGAATTTTTGTAGATATTAGTACTGGTAAATATCAATTTTATGCAGAATGATGATTGATAAAAGCAGGTAAGTAATGACAATGGAAAAGATGTTCACCCTAGAACTCAAACCTGAAAGAACCTTATCCACAAGAACTTTTATCTAGATGGATGTTTAAATATATGCATCTATTTGTTAGCAAAGACTGTAGGAAAGTATAGTTTGTCTTTATTTAGAAAATATGGATGTTGTGGTTGTTCATTTTCCTGTTGGATCATCATGGATTGACCCTGAGATTCTGGTGCCGATTCGCTTTCGGCCACCCCTCAGCGTAAAGTGGATATTGCCTGGCCACCCTTATAAAAATGTTATGGCTACGCCTCTGCTCCTATGACCTTGTTCAACAGTTTTTCGTGGGAATATCAGTTTAGTATTTTTAGCCTATTGTTATTTTCAAAAGCATCATATATTTATCAGTAAGTAAAATCATAAGGTTTGATTTTCTTTTCTTTTAAGTGCATTAGACTCAGTTAGCATAGGCGTTTTTAGCCATTGGGAATGCTGAAGCAACCCTAATTTGAATCAAAGAGTTGTTTATTTGTTTTTTTATACTTTATACACTTTTCACAATAAAAAACAACTAAAAAAATGTGACATTGTAAAAACTATACAGTATTTGGTTATTTAACCCCTTCAATTATGTTCTGGTATATCAGAAATAATTATTAACACAAAAAACAACAACAAGTAAGCAGGCCTGATGGAACTATTTAACTAAAATGACCAACGCTTTGAGGAAAACACTTTTCTGGTGTTTTTTGAAATATTTAGTCAGATTTCTGCACCCATTGATGGTGTGTTGGTGAAACGTTAACCAGTGAGGTTCTCTAATGTGTCTGAGGCTGGTTTATTTAATTATCTTTAAAACCACAACTCAATATCAGTATTTAAATTTACTGAATCATTAGTTTGAATTTTTTTTTTCAGTTTGTAGTTATTTTAATTTACAATCCATTTCATGATGATTGCCAGTCTAAAGGGGGAGAGGTGCATAAGGGGAAGCAGAGGAGCAAGTTTTGTGCAAAGTAAAAGGTCAAGCAGCAGTTGTTCAAAACATTTCATTCAGTAGAATATTTTATATATATCATGGAAGTAATTTTAGCACACTACAGAAAACTCAATTTATGAAAACTGATTCAAATGTTTCCATTAAATGAGTTGATTTAACAGCTTTTATTGGTTATAATATCCTTCTAAAAAAATGCTGCTTTTTCCTTTGCTTGTTAGGTTTTTGGCACACGACTTAGATATGATATATTAGTGACTGACTCTGACAACGGCCACACAGCTCTCTGGGTGCTCACCTCTGACCCTAAAATCGCCCCTCCAGGTTAGTAAGGCATCAGACTGAAATCAAGCCCAGCCTCTACTTCAGCTAAACGATAGCCTCATAAACCAGACCAAATGTGAGATTAAATGTGAAATTCGCAGGCAAAAATGATTTTGGTCGCTGCCAGCTGGGGCTAGTTTACTAGGCTAGCTGAACGTGGCTTTTTTTTCCCGGTTACACTCTGAATAACAGTACAAAGGCTAGCTTGGGCTTTCCGAAATAAAAATGTACCATTCATTAAATAGAATTACCGGTACTTATATTTACACCTCTATGGTATAAAAAGTATCTCTTGTCTGCTTTTTTGGATATGAATATATGAGAATGATTTAAGTTTTTTTCATTTAGTTAGTGTTTTACATGGTTTATTTGTGCATTTTCTATTTGGAACGCAGCTTTATTTTACCCAAATATTGAATTGTTTTTAAACCAAACTTAGTTTCCAGTTACTGATATTCCTTCAAGGTAACAGTATGGAATCTCCTAGATGTTTCTCATCATAGGTAAGCAAGGTCTGATATGGAAATCTAGTATTAAAGCCCCTCGGAATCTGTAAAATTTGACATTTTATCTACTTCCATGAATATTGCTTAAAAACCACTTGTTTCCAGTTACTGATTTCACTTCAGTGTGATAGTAGGGCACCATAGATGCTGCTCTCCAAATAGCATCACAATCTGATGAGGAATTTAAAAATAAATGCCTCTTAAAATTGGTAAAATTGTTAAATTTAAATTTACCTAAGTAAGAATTTGTTTTGCACCATTTGTTTTAGATCAACTGTAGCAAAATTGAATGGAAGACATTTTTGATGTGCAACTCAGAGAACACAATTTTTGTACTTGTGCTCAATAATTTGAAGAGGTATAACTTTTTTTTGTAATTTTTATATATATATATATATATATATATATATATATATATATATATATATATATATATATATATATATATAAATCTACAATAACAAAACACCAAAGTTAAAAGGCACAGCTATTTTTGCAACAACAGTTCTGGACCATTTGAAGCAAAACTGAGAATGTAAGAGGTTTTTGATGTGCAATTTGTAGAAGAAAATGTACTTGTGAGGTTTTTTTTATTCTACAAATACAAAATTTAGAATGTAACTCTCTCTACAACTTCAAATTGTCACTTACAATGCACAAATAGTTTTGAAACAAAATAATCTTTACAGTTGGAGTTACCTTTTTTCACCACTGGATGGCAGTACAGCAAATCTTTTTAAAAAGTTTGACCGTAAGCGAGGCTTTCCCTTTTAGTCATTTGAACATTTACAGGTGCTTCTAAAGAATTTCTTATCACTTAAAAATTAATGAACCAAATTACACATGAGGAGAAATATATTTACAGACAGGTGCCAAGACAGGAACTTTTCAAACGCCTGATATTAGAATTAAATTGAATTCAAAATCTTCACAGACTCTTAATAGTAAGGATTTTTTGTTTGTTTCTTTTTTCTTTTCCGTAAACCTGAATCATGAAATTCACAGGCTAATATACCAAACTGTCATGGAAACTTCACACTGAACTTCAAGCTTGATAGTTTCTCTGCCTTACTTCCTTCCTCCAGAAACATCAAGCATCTTTTCATATCCTTACATTCAATATTTTTGGGGGCTCTTTTGGTATTAACTCCTCCATAACTGTAGATTGAGCTGTAGGAAACCAGCCTGTGGTTCTGCTGAGGTATAGAAGCCCAGCTTGCTTTGACAGATGTCATGTAAAATGTTGAGTATGGTGACTTTTATCTCCCTCTTTACTATAGATTCTCTAAATGGGTTAATTTAAGTACAAATATACCCTGGTTATCAAATGTTTTTTGGGCAATGCTGGTCAACAACAGGTCCTGCCGTAAAAACAACACATCTCCGTAAAGCTTGTCAACAGAAAGATGGATAAAGGGCTCTAAAACATTGTGGCAGATGGTTGTGCTGTCAGAAAACTATGTGAACCAGCACCAGCAAAGAATATGGCACCAAAATCATTAATTACTGAGAGAGGAAACTTTAAACTGGACATGAAGCAACACGGATTATGAGTTCATCGACTCCTTAACCAGACTCTGGGAGCAGACACCCTGCATTCAAGACTAGGCTTACTCTTAAAATGAGATTATATTTAGAGTGGCTCAGATTATCATGATCACTATGGTTATTGCTGTTATAGGCTTAGGCTTCTGGGGGACATAGGGACTACTTTATATTATTCTGCTACTTCTATTCTCCAATTCTGCAGTATTTTATTTTACTTTATTTTCACTCCATTCTTTGATTTCTTCAGTGCATTTAAAATGGTTCAGCATGAGTGACTTTTTCTGAAACTCCAGAAGACTCAGTCGGAGGTATCAGCAATTGCTTGGATGACAGACTACCTGACACAGTTTTTGTGACTCAAGGGTCATCTGTCTAATAAAGAAGTCGGCAGCAGTAGAGGACCAGAGGGGAAAGTACTCTTACCATTCCTTTTTACTCTGTAAACCTCTAAATTCCAGTAGGAGATAGAATCCCATCATCTATGGAAATACTTAGACGACTCTGCAGTCATACAGGGAGCTAATGAAACGGTTTGTGGCATTGTGTTGAAACAATCATCTGATTCAGAATGGAAACGAAACAAAAGGAGATGACTGTGCTTAAGGGAGTGCTTAGCCCTGTTTCTCTCCTAGACATAGCTATCCAGTCAGCTTTTACTCTGACTTACTGTATGTACTCTTCTTCATTCATTTTGAAATTTAAACAGTTCATCTGCTTAACTGTTTCTTTTCTAAACAAACACCTGTGGAGCTAGTTTACCATAGCCTTTTCTATGATAAAAAGCTATCCTGATAAAAAGCTATCCTGACCTTTCTCTATAGTTATGCTGCTATAGGCTTAGATTTTTTTTTAAGGTTTTTTTTTTATTCTGAAAGTCCAATAAATATTATTAAAACACTATAATCAGCCCCTACTGTTAGAGTCAAGATAAATGGATATTTGGAAGATTGCATTGGGCTGTCAAGGTCTATTTGACAGGAATGTATATTCTTATTGCCCAGGCAATAAGGACAAACAATATGACTGCTGTGATTCATCTAAAAGAACATGACACTATATGCTGATGATATCTATTTACATCTGTCCAATCCAAAGCAATCCATCCAGGCCCAAGAGTTCCTGGATGTGTTTGTACTGATTCAGGACACAGAGAACACCAAGAAAAAACATCATGTGCTTCAACTACTGTCCTTCAACAGCTCTTAAACTCAAATCTCTTTTGACTGGATGTAGGAAACAATCTGAATGGCCTTGATATTGTATATGGGAGGTGTCGATATGTTCTTTTTCATATGTTGATTTTTAAATTTGTGCGAACTAAATCTAAGCAGCCAGTTACAATCTCTCATGATGGACTGCCTTTGACTCAGAATTTATACCCAAAGTGTGTCACAGTGTAACTGAATATTTAGATTCCTTCCTTAAGAGTACTTTAGGAGGCTTCCAAGGAATAAAAAAACAATATGATCTGGGGAAAGATCTTTACATCTACCACAATGCCTTTTTTCAAATGTAGATTAAAACTGTATTTCTATTTCTGATATAACTTAACTCTTAAGTTTACCCTCAGCAGTGTAGATCAACTATTTATAGGCTCTGTCATGAATGGTGGAGAGGGGAAGGAATCTCAACAGATAATGTTAAAAAAAATATGGTAGAACTGCTTCAACCTTCACCGCAATCTACAGGAAAGAGTTCAGTTAGAAAAACTGTGTTTTAATCTGTAATACTCCCTACATGAATTATATTTAATAAAGCTATTTATACGCATAAATCAAGCAGAACACTATGGCGATAGCCGTACTGCTCCACTTGTGAAAGCAGAATCTGTTGGGCTCTTTTTTGGCATCATTGCCAGA